CAGTAACTACTATGAAGGATTCAGTAGTACTATGATTTATTCAGTACCAACTATGATTTATTCAGTCACTACTATGAATTATTCAATAACTACTATGTAAAATGTACCTATAATGACATTAATATGTTGCATTACTATATTACCTCTCCATTATTACCTATATAAGAACTACACAGGAACTGTCCACTTATTTTAAAGTGTAACTTTATCACTACACTACAAGAAAGTTCCTGTGTAGCTGTTATATAGGTATAATGTAATTGCAGAATGGTATTAATCAATGTAATGTGATTAGGTTACCTTGTTACAACACAGATATTCCAAAGTAATTATGTAAAACATTAATGTTATGTAAAACATACTTCCATTAACTGCTGGAAAAGACTTCTGATCTGCAGTGTATCAAAAAGATACACATGTGTAATTACATAGGCTGTACTTCTGTAATCCATCTGTAACATTGTAACTAAATCATCAGTAGTTACAGCGTTGTTGCATTTGTTATTCATGTGTAACTACAAAGTTATTAGAGACACAATATAAAGTGGGACCGTAAGTTCTGTAGTTGTGACAGTTCAGCAATTCTGGGGAAAAAAAAATAACCCTTAAAAAACCACAGTTATTAAAAGTAATAAAAGCATCTTGTCAAGTGGAGAAATTGGAAAGAGCAGATTCTAAATGCTCAATCCATGTTTAAGCATTATGATTTATGACTGACTTATTATGACTCAAATCTAATGAAAAGATATTGTTAGGTGTGCAGTCTTGCAGAAAAAAAGTCCTTTCCATTTCTTGCTGGACTTTTGTTATTGTTTGCAACAGAAAAAAAAATAACATGGCAGACATAAACCTGCTGACACAGAGTGCAAAAGGCATGGGCATTTCAGTCAAATCTGATATTAAAAAACATTGAATCCAGAACCAGAACCTATTTGAACGGGATTAGTTTTACATAAGGAGGTGGGGTAATGTAATGTAATGTAATATAACCGGCATTTCTCAATGATTTTAGTCCTGTCCGAATGTGTTTATTACCCTGGGTTTTATTAATCCCAAATGAATGGAAATGCCATCATATTCTGTATAAATGGAGTTTTGTAAGTATAGAGGCACTCAAAAAAGCATTTACTTGTGTTCTCTGTAACTGAAATCAAGCTGATGTGTAGTGTCCTACTTCAAGCGCACAACTCAGACCATTAATACATATAATTATAGAGGAAAAGTTTCATTTTATGCTGTGATGTTGACTGCTGGCTGTGAATTGCCAAGCTAGTGCTAGAGACAGTGCATTCACTTAAGACAGCAGAACAGACGGTTAGGGTAAACAGAGTATCAGCTAAATTAAATGTTTTGACATGTTTCCTACTCCAGAAAAGAAGCAGTGTGTAAAATTGAGTACCTACTCCGTCATTTATGTTGAGACGTTACAGATGTCCTGTGGTAAACTGGAATCTCACTGCCTGATAAACAGGCAAATAGCAATTGTCTACTACTTCAGCAAATATTAGTAACCTAAACACTTCTTTCACCTCGTACATTTCAGCTCACAAACAGCAAGTTTGTGAAAAATGTGTGATAAATTCTGAAGACAATGTTTAAATATATACAGCTATACAAAAAAGCTTGCGCTTGATATTTATTTGGCACTTTTCTGCAACGCTTCCTTTGTGCTATACCTGCACTGTTTACTAGCTGCTGTGTGTGGTACCCTTTAGATGACTGCAGTAGTCTTTCTACTGGACAAAACGGATATGAACCTTTAGAAAAAATGAAGGTGCAGGCTGCCCTCTGGTAGAGGAACTTTCATGACTATTCGAAAAGTCTGAGTCATTCCTAATGTACACTCAATGTAACTGTAATTCATTATGTAACAAACTAAATATGCAATTATATTTAACTCATTGTAAACTGTATTTATAGCAAAACCACAGTAAGAGGACCTGAAAGCATTGACTGGTAACAGCAGAGATTTTGTGGCAATAGAAATAGAAAAAGAGAGAGAGAGAGAGAAAGAGAGAGAGAGAGAGAGAGAGAGAGAGAGAAAGAGAGAAGGAGGGAGGGAGGGAGGGAGAGAGAGAGAAAGAGAACGGCAAAGGAGAGATAAGAGGGGTTGGGTATCAGAGAAGCAGCAAAATAAGGTGTTGGAGGAGAGGGGAGAGTTACACACACACACAATCATTTCTAAGCCTCCAAACCAGTGTCTATAAAAGACCTGAGACAGATTTAATTTCATACAGAGAGCACTCTGAAAGAATATCCGTCTAAGTGTGCGTGTGTGAGACAGCAAGTGACAGTGTGAGAGTGGAGGAAGTGGATCTTGAGGTCTAAATGGAGTGGTTATAAAGGCTGACCTCATGTTTCTTGTGCTAAAAGTTTATAATGGCTTTCAGGGCTTCAAACAGACACACAGAGATAAACACTGAATATTACAATCAGAATACAATAGACTTCTTTGATTATAATTAATGTTTATTTACAATCAGACCAGTATAAAGATCCATAGATCCAAAGATCCACTGACCTTATTTTGAGTGTCTGAAAATATTAACCTGAATGAATATCAGTATATGAAAGTGTGCTTAGTAGAGACTATATACCCTTTTTACTTATTCAATAATAATCAAATAATAAAGACAGAACTACTTTAAATGAGATACCAGAAGGTATTTTTTACCATTTTTTTCCTTTCACAGTTATTTTGTTATTTAGTTATTAAATAATAATTAATATACAGTAATTATCTATTTACAGTATTGTGCTTAACATTTGATCACCATGTATTCTCAATATTATTATATTATTAGAACGTTTTTGATGTTCTACAGTTTTCTCAGTCCCTGTTCATCACTCTGGACACAGTACACATTTCTATATTTAATCAGCTTTTAACTACTTAGTTGAAACCTTGTTGTATAGTAGTAGCACCTGAGTAAATTTACATTATATTTTATGTATTCTCTTCAACAATTTTTTTTTTTAAATGATGATTCCAAACTTTTGAATGTATATGAATAATTCTACTGAATTAGTCCAAACTGCTGTCCCACAGCATCAACTTGTGAAAATAATGCTTTCATTTTTTGTATTTTAAACATATTTTTTTCAATATTTTGAATAGGTTTCAATAGGTTGAAAGATTTAGATTTACAATGAATGTAATTTAAAAAAAGAAGGTTAAAGGTTTTCATGTCACTACTGTAACAGAGTTTTAGTGTATAGACAAAGTCTCATTTTAGCCACATCCCTGCATTTTAGACCAGGAAGAGAGACTGCATCCCTGTCCCTCATAGCCACATGGATCCCACTGATCCCATTGTTAGATCCCAAGTAATATGTCTGTAAGTCTGAAAATCAGTGTGTAACATTAAGAATTGTCACTACTGAAACACATGTTTTCTGCAATTAGGTAACTTTATGTTTTAATTAAAAACATTCAGATGTTTTTGTGTGTACAACTGTTCAAAGTTTTGTTTGATAGTAATGCACTGGCTAGCCTTTTTGAGCTATGCTTAAAATTAGCTAAAATTGTCACATTTGAAACAGTCATTATCAAAACATTTAGTAAATTGTCAGTGGTGTTATGACTTTGGTAGTGACAAAATGGAATGTTCAATCATTTATTTTATAATATCCATATATACAGTAAAATTAACATAATTAAGGTATAAGTCATTAAAAGCAAAAAGATTTTAGTCTAAAGTTTACTTCAGTTAAAAGTCTGAAATGTGTTTTCAACCTTGACTTAGAACCAGTAAAATTATCTCTATATATCCTTTGTAATATATTTTTGGTATATCATTTACATTGTGTTGCTGCTTTATTTCATTTTGTTAAAAAACACAAAACCAACTTTTTAATGTGTAGATAATTTTTGTGTATTTCACTGTTTTGGCATGTGCCAAAATCTGTTAAAAAATACAGCAAATGTATGTGCAGAACAGAAAACAAGTACTGATCTAACCTTTTAAAATTAAGAAAGCTATATTTAAGAAATTATTGTAAATTTATAACAAAATAAAACAAAATAAACTTTAGTGCCCAGTAATATTTCAGCAGTTACACAGTGATATATTGTAATGCTGGACTGGAAAAGCCTATAGGGTACACACACACACACACACACACACACACACACAGTCTTTCATGTAAGATGTTTTAGCTCAATAGTGGGCTGTGGTGGATTAAAAAGCGAGAGAGTTGAGGGAGTATCTCCATATTCTCTGCATTCAGGGGTTAAACATGCCAATAAAAATCCAGCACATTTACACACGCATAGCCGCCTTCCGCTGGGTATCCCATACACACTTAAAAGCTCAATGGCGGGGTGTTAGGGTCAGACCCTGCAGCTATTTTACCTTTGGCTACTGCATCAATTTTTAGTGAACTGGAAGCTAAGCCATCATTAAATATAGAGCAAAATACACACAGAATGAACCTGCTACTGTAAAACACACACACACACACACAAACACACACTGCTGTAAATAATGTACACTCTCAGCACATTACACAGCACCCTTCAAAAGACTAGACCCACCTGACTGAATGTCTGTTTTTCACAATCTTAAAGATGTTCTGATCAAAGTCCTTATGATTAAATTTTTGAAATTTATTTCTACAACAAATAGAATTAGTAAAGCTGATGTTTATATATGAACTTGCGTTCAAAGCAAACAATTCATTCAGAAGTTTGGAATTTTGCTCAATCAATATTTTCAATGAAATAAAAGCAGTTAGGCTCCAGACACGTGTAAAAACATGTGTAACTTCTTCAGTCCTGCTGGAAAAGCATTTCAGATGGCAGCAACAATGTAAACTCCAACACCTCATTTTTTAATTTCTGAAATTATCTAAATTACAAGTCTGATTTCTTTAAAACATTTTGGTCAGTACATAATTCCATTTGTTTTACTTCACAGTTTTTACCTCTTCACTATTATTCTACAACCACGAAAACAGTATATTCCATGAAAACATTCCATCCCTCTCTCCATCCATACCTGAGCTCCATGACGCTGGTGACATTTCCAGAGGGGAAGATGCGTCTGATATAGTTGAAGTCTCCTACAAAAAGGCTGCCATCTGATGCGCAGGCCAGAGCCACTGGGGCCAGCAGTTTATTTCCATCAGCCTGACCGTTACAGCTGGGACAGGAAATGCTGCGCCTGCGTCCATTACCCATAATGGTGCTGATCACCGGAGGCTGCTGTGAAATGAAGATGTTCTCACCATTCCCTTTATATAGGATACCTGCAACAGAGAGAAAGAGAGAGAGAGAGATTACAATGCTAATCAAATTTACCCCTCTTACTCAAATATAGCCTATGATCCAAAACATGTTTGGTGCCTGAAGTTTGCTACTTCAGTTTTGCACTGGAGCTATGATGCTGTTGCAGCTAACAAGTCATGGAAGCTCAAATCAGAGCCATCTTAAGAAGAGCCTGTTCCTCCCATTCCTGTTCTTCCCATTATACCAAAACTATAACTGCAAGGAAGGCACCTGTGAGCGAGTCCTCAGTGAATAGTCAGAATGAAGATAAATGAATAAAAATAAAAATGTAATCATGTTTCTGACCATTCATGTCAGAATTTCCTTTAAAAAGTAGAAGGAGAATTATATTTTAAAAAAAAACTATGATAACTTGCCAGTATATTACCATTTTTCAACAACACGTATGGGTAGCAGGACACTCATAGCACTACTGCTGAGCGCTGATTGGTTGATAAACTGATAAGCTTATTGGCAGAGTAAAGCAGTTCACGATCACTGACATCATGAATATACGCAAGTCACTATGAGAGCAGTACAACAATATTTTAAATGATATACACAAATATGTATAGAAATATATTTTACACAGTGCATTTTTCTATATTTCTGCCTAAAGACTTCATAGGTCCCCTTTTTGGACTCTCTCTGTAGTGCCCTGTAGCATCCGACCAAGCCGAAAACATTATTGAGTACTCAACCAAAAAGAGAGAGAGAGGACGGGGGAGAGAGAGTGAGGGGGAGGGGAGAGAGAGTGCTACATAGTAATGAACTCATCTTCCTTTAGACATGTATAATTCAGAGGCTGGTTTATGTAGTGATATTAAGGTCAGTGGAATTAATTATAATTATAATTTTATTTATTAATGACAATCAATAGATTTGAACTGTGTGCTTTGTGAAGTCTTTACCCCTGTGGACCTTCAGACATAAAATAAATGATTTTAAATTACTATAAACTCACACCAGTATATGATAAACAGGAGAATTTTCATCAGGAAAGGAAAACACAGGCACAAGTTTCAGCCCATTAGACTGATTTCAGGAGAGTCATCATCATTGGGATGAAGGATGTGAAGGATTTGTGAGTTAAGTCTCCTTCAAAGAGAAGCTGTTTATCGAAGGCTGTCAATAATCAAGAATGACAGCTTGTCAATGCAGCACAGTGAGGGATACTGACCCTCATCAAAACAGCTGCAAAACTCTCTCTGTTCAATTATACTCAGTGCTGATGGTCAGTGCATTCCAAAAACAAATAAATAAATGGATTAATAAATAAATAAATAAATAAATAAATGTTTAAATTATGTTTTAAATAATTAATTATAAATTAAACAAAATATTATTAATAGTAATACTTATATATAATTTTTATAATATAAGAAATGAATAAATATGACATTCATTTATTTGTACTGTACTAAATATTATATGTAACAAGTTATTTTATGTATTATATTTGAATATATATTGTGCTAATGTTGGTTATGACAAATATTCTATATTATATAGTGTATAATAGTGTTATATATTATTATTAGTAGTAGTACTAGTAGTATCATAAAATAGTAACAAAAATGTATTTATATTAATATGTATTTATACATATTATATACATATTATAATACATATATTACAACACATGTATTTATTCATTTGCAACATTAACACTTCAGAAACTGCAATATTTTTTTTTTTTTTCATTCTAAGAGCTCTGCAGGTTTTTACAAAAAGTTCAGAGAAGCTGAGAAACAGAGGTTGGTCTGGCAGATGTTTCAAATCTATAAGTACTACACATACACAGTGTTGGTGTATGTAGTGCATGTAACTTTAGTGAAAGTGGGGCATTCTCACTCCTTCTGTCAGCGGGGGACTGGTAATGCCTGATTCACCCCATCACACGGAGGGAGAGATCAAACGAAATCGAGGCATTTCGTCGCACATTTAAAGCAAACGGATCCAGCAAAAACTTTTTAGAGGAAAGAAAAAAAAAACACTATAAAAGTGATCATATGAAAAGTCCTGCTTTATGGCACACAACATTATGTTCATTTTAATCATATTAATTCTATACTTCATTTTTAGAACTGTGAATACAGGAAAGAGAGAAAAACAAGTAGGAGTTTTAATCATTTTAAGACTAATATTAAAAGTTATGAACTAAAGTAAACATTTGTTCCATCTTATTACATCTTCTAAATATAACTGCATGAACTGTATGAGCTGAAATACTGTCCCCTCTCTCTTTCTCGCTCTCTATATTTCCCACTGTCCCTATCTCTCTCTTTCTTTATTTCTGTCTTTCTCCCTTTGTTTTTCTCTCTTTCTCTCTACCTCTCTTTCTTTCCTTTTCTCTCTTTCTTTCTTTCTTTTTCCAGTGCTCTTTCGTGCAATAAGCGGTTTATAAACAGTTGCACAGGGCCCCCAACACCACCAGTGGGCTACAAAATTTGTATTTTTAAAAAGGCCTTTGAAATTGCCAAAAACTGCAGAGATTTTATGAAAATTAATAAAGCATTAATTCTTTTGCAGTTTTTGCATACAAAAGAACATGACTGGTGTGGGTGGGGTGTCGGGCCCCTCAGTTGTTCTCTTTCTCTCTCTCTCTCTATGATTGCAAGCTGATCAAGTTCACTCTCATAGAGCCCAGAGCAACAGTGCATTTGTGTACGTGTGTGTGTGTGTGTGTGTCTATTTATATGCATTTAAATATCAGTCTTTGTGAATCTAAGTCTGGGTGTCTGTGTGGATGTGAGTGTGTAAAGTCTATAACAAGCTCCAACAACACTGATGCTACTGCAAACTATTCAACACCGCCAACACACCATAACACTACTGCAATCCCAGTGTGTTATAATCAGGGTCATGTTAAAGAGCCCATATAATGGAAAAACATATATCCTATTTTTTTTTTTAACTAAAATTGTCCTTTCTGAATGCACTGTTTTTTGTGATGTCACATTCAGTATTGTGCAAAGTTTAAGGCAACTAAGCAAACAATTTAAAGCCATTTATCTGGGTAATAAGTGTGTTTCTGCTTGGAAAACAAACATCATATAACAATAAATTCAAACGATCATTAATCTAGTAAAAAGTAACAGCAACAAGAATTTCTCCAATGCCTCTCAGCCTTTGCATGTTTTTGTTCAAATTCACTGCCAACACACCTGATTCAACTTAGTAAAGCACTGATTATTCAAACCAGGTATTTGGTTTTTTTAAAACCAAATTTAAGCATAATAAAATATCTCCTCTTCTACTTCAAAAACAAATGTAGTATAGATTGAAAATTTACAATCTGATCTTTCCAGAGAATCCATTTTACACTTGTTTAAATGTGCTGCAACTGACAAATAATGAAACACGATACAAGAAGAGAAATTTTAAGGTGTAGAAACTATGGAGGGCTGACAGTTGGGAGAAACGAACAAAACCCCATTTCAGGAAAACTATAATTAAGACTAAATAAGATAATCACACCAGGGTTTTTCCGGCATAGAGAATTATGAGACGGCCACCTACCGCCTCCAGTTCTCGACAAAATTCTAACAGGTGTCTTCATGGACAACTCTATTCTCTAACAAGCATTGAACTCAGTAGATTTCTGTCATTTGTAACTGCAACTGTGGCATTACGCCATGTGCACTGCAATCAGCACAGTGCCTTGGGAAAGGCCCTGCCAAAACTGGAACTGTAGTAAAAGCATGGCTATAACTAGCTATGAGGACACCAAAGTCCGGACCTCGGTAGTTTCAGAAGGGTTTTTTCTTATCTCCATTCATGATTTTTGATGTGGAAAGTGCATTTCTGATAATGTGACAGCCACTCAGGAGAAGAGCCTTCACAGGTCTGCCCAGTCAAAAAGGGAAAGAACATTTTTTAAGATAGTGACACCTTTTTTTTTTTCTCGACACCTTTTTTAAGATAGTGACATTTGATTTGTTTTCTGTGAATGGTGTTGCTGGGCCAATCAGATCATTACGCTCTAAGCCACATGCCACCATTTTCTCAACCCTCCAATCACTGCTATCTGCAACTGTTTGTTATCAGCACCCAGCATGCTCCTAACTAGCATGAGGACACTGATTGTCTCGGGAATTTATGAGTTTTTTGAAATTCAATGTGGAAACAGCACTAAGACTACACAACTAGCAGTGACTGGTTCTCAGCCAGCCGAAGTTTATGGTTCGGCCATAAACTGAACTGCCTGCTGTATTTATCTCTGTAAAACTGCCCAGAGCATCTATAGGCTAACACACAACATAGCTATGATAAAATGTGAGTTTATGATGGTAATTACCAGATTATGATTTAAAATCCAAACCCTATAACTAATTTTTCACTTGTAAAGCTTTTGTAAAAATAACATTGTACATAATTAGCATGCTTTAGTCTAGTTCCAGTAGCTGCTTAGTTTAGGCTACAGGCGCCGTAGTTGGTTAGAGATTACATGAGAAATTAATGGTAGTTCAAAGTTGTTTTGTGTAACCTACTCAAAACAGTGAGCATGTTCACTGTTAACTAGTACACTGATAGCACACTATCGTGTAACATAATTTAGAAATCAGCAGATATATTTGACTGTATTTTATCTGGTTAACTGTATGAGTATCCATTAGATGGGGCTTGGTAGAGCCAGACTTTTGTAAATTATTTTTAAAGTATGCTTTTTCAGTAATCTGTGAGCACAGAGAAAGAGGAGAGCAAAAGATTTTAAAGATCTAATTTAGTGCATACATGTTTCAGCATGTATTTTCAGCTGAAAATAAATGTGTAAATAAATAGTTAAATAATTAATTAAATAAAATTAAATGGGGTAAACAGGGAATAAATGAAAGGGGAAGAAGTACATAACAATTATGGAGCAATGATTTGGTAAAAAAATCCAAAAGAGACAGATAATTGGTGTAACACATATTTGCCACTTAGTTTCGTTACTGTGTGATGTTTTTTCTTTGTTGCTAGTGCTTAGTGCTTTGTA